CTGACCCCCAGCATCTCCACCCCCGGCTCATCTTCATTTAGGTCGAGACGCGCTGGTTGTCGGCACACACTGGGCCCTCCGCGATTCCGTGTGGTTTCCACTGAGCTCCAGTCCGCCCGGGGAGGCTGCGGGAGGCGGGCGCCTTCCCCAGGGCGCTCGGGCTCCAGCGCTCTCCCGGTCGCCGGCTACGGTTCGCTCAGCTCGCTCACCTCTCCATTTCCACGCCGTCAGCACCAACTCCAGACGCCCCCTCGCCTCAGAAACACTGCAGTGGAGCCTAACGCCCCCGCTGAGCTGCTTCCGCCGCCCACGCTGGGAAAGCGTCCTGCGCGGCCTCACTGGACACGGCGGCTGGTTCCTCCGAGCACCGCCTGGCCCACAGCGCCCGGGCCTGGGCCTGGGCCGCTCTGCGCCAGCTCCGGTCACTGCAGCTCCGGTCACTGCAGCTCCGGTCACTGCAGCTCCGGTCACTGCAGCTCCGGTCACTGCAGCTCCGGTCACTGCAGCTCCGGTCACTGCAGCTCCGGTCACTGCAGCGGGCTCGGGCGGCCCTTCCCGCAGCGGGAGCTGGGACAGGGCCGCACCCCGGGCAGGAGACTGTAGATTACCCACTTTCCGCATCGCATGTTAACTCTAATCACGTCCCACACTATTAACAGTGTGTTCAATCACCTCAATCTTATTGTACTATTAAGCTACGCAAAACATCGACACATAAATTATTACCTACATTTTATTTTCTAATATATATTCATTCCAGATAGGTCTCAGGTTTCTAGGAAAGGAGACTTCCATTGTTTTAGGCAAAGAAACTTTCTAAACAGAATTAAGGCAGAACCCAAAAGTATAAAATAAGTGGAGTACTGGTTCCTCAAGCAAAAATTTCATGATTTCCCAAACTTCCAAAGGAACTATATGATGTCTTACTGTCTGAAAACCCTTACTCTGTGCACGGACTTCTCACCATGACTCAGGGCAGTAACAGAAGTGCTGGAGTCATCTACACTTGGATTCAAAGCCAGTCTTTAGCCCCTGCGCAACTGTAAAACTGACACATCTCCAGCCTGAGTGGCTTTTGTCTGGATTAACGGCAGTGCGTAACTATGTATATCATAGGAGATCCAATTCCAAAATATTTAAGCATTCACCTGAGACCTCCAAAACTGACTTGCCTGGGTCATCAACTAGTTAGAGACCAGGGACTAGTTGGTTCCAGACTTACAATCTACAAGATGCCTTCTGCTTGTAAAGATGACCCAATGTGTCTGCTGGAGACCAACTAGCACATCCCTAATTTTTACTACAGTAAACCTTAAAATAATTTCTCAACTGAGTATAATACTCATCTACACTGGTTTCACAAAGAGCTGAAAATTTCACAAAAACTACAATACACTAAGACAAGCCTAGAGAAGCTAAAGCAAGCAAAAATCCAAAATTTTGCAAGAGTGCACTAATCACCTACACTTTCTAAACACTACAGCTCAAGCCCAGTTTGGGATGAAGTTTAAATAGGTTTCACTCTAAATAAAAACATGTGAGAAGCAGCCTTTAATACTGTCTTACTAATTTCAGAGCATTTATAACCATTGCTTTGACATATCAACATACTT